ACCACGTGACCATTGTGGTGGTCATTTTTTACCTTCTTTGTGCGATTGGCGTGCGAATTATTCGCAGATTGGATTTGATTGGGCGCCCCCAATTTGGGATTGGATTTGATTGGGCCAGATTGGGCGACACTGTGACCGTCGTTTAAACGTAATATTGAGGCACCTACGGTCATTATCGTTGCCGTAGGATGCAAAATGGTTGCGTAATGTGTTTCTTTACGACTTCTCATCGAAGTGGGTGGTTACGTTCTCCGTCGACTCCCTTATGGGGGTTGCTAATACGCAGGAAAATATTTATGCAATTTTTTTGATTATGCTTATCGTCATAAATCTTACCGTGTCGAACACAGAATTTTTTCCCAAAAATATACTCCGGTCGGACAGTATTAACACTTAAACCCGCGTAAAAGGGTTGTTTTTTAAAAAAGTTTTATTGTTCGCTATAATAGTGATAATATGTTTGCTTGCGTACCACGTGACCATTGTGGTGGTCATTTTTTACCTTCTTTGTGCGATTGGCGTGCGAATTATTCGCAGATTGGATTTGATTGGGCGCCCCCAATTTGGGATTGGATTTGATTGGGCCAGATTGGGCGACACTGTGACCGTCGTTTAAACGTAATATTGAGGCACCCACGGTCCGTATCGTTGCCGTAGGATGCAAAATGGTTGCGTAATGTGTTTCTTTACGACTTCTCATCGAAGTGGGTGGTTACGTTCTCCGTCGACCTCCTTATGGGGGTTGCTAATACGCAGGAAAATATTTATGCATTTTTTTTTGAGTATGCTTATCGTCATAAATCCTATCGTGTCGAACACAGAATTTTTTCCCAAAAATATACTCCTGTCGGATAATATTAACACTTAAACCCGCGTAAAAGGGTTGTTTTTTAAAAAAGTTTTATTGTTCGCTATAATGGTGATAATATGTTTGCTTGCGTACCACGTGACCATTGTGGTGGTCATTTTTTACCTTCTTTGTGCGATTGGCGTGCGAATTATTCGCAGATTGGATTTGATTGGGCGCCCCCAATTTGGGATTGGATTTGATTGGGCCAGATTGGGCGACACTGTGACCGTCGTTTAAACGTAATATTGAGGCACCCACGGTCCGTATCGTTGCCGTAGGATGCAAAATGGTTGCGTAATGTGTTTCTTTACGACTTCTCATCGAAGTGGGTGGTTACGTTCTCCGTCGACTCCCTTATGGGGGTTGCTAATACGCAGGAAAATATTTATGCAATTTTTTTGATTATGCTTATCGTCATAAATCTTACCGTGTCGAACACAGAATTTTTTCCCAAAAATATACTCCGGTCGGACAGTATTAACACTTAAACCCGCGTAAAAGGGTTGTTTTTTAAAAAAGTTTTATTGTTCGCTATAATAGTGATAATATGTTTGCTTGCGTACCACGTGACCATTGTGGTGGTCATTTTTTACCTTCTTTGTGCGATTGGCGTGCGAATTATTCGCAGATTGGATTTGATTGGGCGCCCCCAATTTGGGATTGGATTTGATTGGGCCAGATTGGGCGACACTGTGACCGTCGTTTAAACGTAATATTGAGGCACCCACGGTCCGTATCGTTGCCGTAGGATGCAAAATGGTTGCGTAATGTGTTTCTTTACGACTTCTCATCGAAGTGGGTGGTGACGTTCTCCGTCGACCCCCTTATGGGGGTTGCTAATACGCAGACAATATTTATGCATTTTTTTTGGTATGCTTATCGCTGTAAACGTTATCGTGTCGAACACAGAATTTTTTCCCAAAAATATACTCTGGTCGGACAGTATTAACACTTAAACCCGCGTAAAAGGGTTGTTTTTTAAAAAAGTTTTATTGTTCGCTATAATAGTGATAATATGTTTGCTTGCGTACCACGTGACCATTGTGGTGGTCATTTTTTACCTTCTTTGTGCGATTGGCGTGCGAATTATTCGCAGATTGGATTTGATTGGGCGCCCCCAATTTGGGATTGGATTTGATTGGGCCAGATTGGGCGACACTGTGACCGTCGTTTAAACGTAATATTGAGGCACCCACGGTCCGTATCGTTGCCGTAGGATGCAAAATGGTTGCGTAATGTGTTTCTTTACGACTTCTCATCGAAGTGGGTGGTTACGTTCTCCGTCGACCTCCTTATGGGGGTTGCTAATACGCAGGAAAATATTTATGCATTTTTTTTTGAGTATGCTTATCGTCATAAATCCTATCGTGTCGAACACAGAATTTTTTCCCAAAAATATACTCCTGTCGGATAATATTAACACTTAAACCCGCGTAAAAGGGTTGTTTTTTAAAAAAGTTTTATTGTTCGCTATAATGGTGATAATATGTTTGCTTGCGTACCACGTGACCATTGTGGTGGTCATTTTTTACCTTCTTTGTGCGATTAGCGTGCGAATTATTCGCAGATTGGATTTGATTGGGCGCCCCCAATTTGGGATTGGATTTGATTGGGCCAGATTGGGCGACACTGTGACCGTCGTTTAAACGTGAAATTGAGGCACCTACGGTCCGTATCGTTGCCGTAGGATGCAAAATGGTTCCGTAATGTGTTTCTTTACGACTTCTCATCGAAGTGGGTGGTTACGTTCTCCGTCGACCCCCTTATTGGGGTTGGTAATTTGTAGAAAATATTATGCAATTTTTTTTTGGTATGCTTATCGCTGTAAACGTTATCGTGTCGAACACAGAATTTTTTCCCAAAAATATACTCCGGTCGGACAGTATTAACACTTACACCCGCGTAAAAGTGTTGTCTTTTAAAAAAGGTTTATTGTTCGCTATAATAGTGATAATATGTTTGCTTGCGTACCACGTGACCATTGTGGTGGTCATTTTTTACCTGCTTTGTGCGATTGGCGTGCGAATTATTCGCAGATTGGGCGAAATTGGGCGCCCCCAATTTGGGATTGTATTTGATTGGGCCAGATTGGGCGACACTGTGACCGTCGTTTAAACGTAATATTGAGGCACCCACGGTCCGTATCGTTGCCGTAGGATGCAAAATGGTTGCGTAATGTGTTTCTTTACGACTTCTGATCGAAGTGGGTGGTTACGTTCTTCGTCGACCTCCTTATGGGGGTTGCTAATACGCAGGAAAATATTTATGCAATTTTTTTGATTATGCTTATCGTCATAAATCTTACCGTGTCGAACACAGAATTTTTTCCCAAAAATATACTCCGGTCGGACAGTATTAACACTTAAACCCGCGTAAAAGGGTTGTTTTTTAAAAAAGTTTTATTGTTCGCTATAATGGTGATAATATGTTTGCTTGCGTACCACGTGACCATTGTGGTGGTCATTTTTTACCTGCTTTGTGCGATTGGCGTGCGAATTATTCGCAGATTGGGCGAAATTGGGCGCCCCCAATTTGGGATTGTATTTGATTGGGCCAGATTGGGCGACACTGTGACCGTCGTTTAAACGTAATATTGAGGCACCCACGGTCCGTATCGTTGCCGTAGGATGCAAAATGGTTGCGTAATGTGTTTCTTTACGACTTCTGATCGAAGTGGGTGGTTACGTTCTTCGTCGACCTCCTTATGGGGGTTGCTAATACGCAGGAAAATATTTATGCAATTTTTTTGATTATGCTTATCGTCATAAATCTTACCGTGTCGAACACAGAATTTTTTCCCAAAAATATACTCCGGTCGGACAGTATTAACACTTAAACCCGCGTAAAAGGGTTGTTTTTTAAAAAAGTTTTATTGTTCGCTATAATGGTGATAATATGTTTGCTTGCGTACCACGTGACCATTGTGGTGGTCATTTTTTACCTTCTTTGTGCGATTGGCGTGCGAATTATTCGCAGATTGGATTTGATTGGGCGCCCCCAATTTGGGATTGGATTTGATTGGGCCAGATTGGGCGACACTGTGACCGTCGTTTAAACGTAATATTGAGGCACCTACGGTCCGTATCGTTGCCGTAGGATGCATAATGGTTGCGTAATGTGTTTCTTTACGACTTCTGATCGAAGTGGGTGGTTACGTTCTTCGTCGACCTCCTTATGGGGGTTGCTAATACGCAGGAAAATATTTATGCAATTTTTTTGATTACGCTTATCGTCATAAATCTTATCGTGTCGAACACAGAATTTTTTCCCAAAAATATACTCCTCTCGGATAATATTAACACTTAAACCCGCGTAAAAGGGTTGTTTTTTAAAAAAGTTTTATTGTTCGCTATAATAGGGATAATATGTTTGCTTGCGTACCACGTGACCATTGTGGTGGCCTTTTTTTACCTTCTTTGTGCGATTGGCGTGCGGACTACTCGCAGATTGGATTTGATTGGGCGTACCCAATTTAATTTATATTGGGCGATCCCAAAATAATTTAGATTGGATTTGATTGGGCATTTTTAACAGGGAGGATAGATATATCCACTACTATTAGAAATATAAAAAATTGTTCGAAGATTACTTCGACAGAACTTGCCTCACTCATAAAGTACAGCTTGTCAAATCCAGCTCTTTCGAAAATTTAAAAGATTTGATATTGCGACAAGTATTTTTTTTATGGCAACAATTATAAGCTAAAATAAAAATTTGTACCTAATGTTTCAATAAAGGTAAAGGAACGTTTGTTACAAGTGAGCTTTTCTGTTACAAAATTTTATGTCGACGTCATCTACATTTTTGCAAGGACGCATATCTCAATTTGGATAGATGTATTGCAATACAAATGATAGAAGTAATAATTTCGGAGGCTTCCACGGTCGGAATCAATACATGATCGTTTTCCGGGTTGGAACCGTGTTAATTGAGTTTTTGGGCTCAACGTTTCGCACACTTGAATAAGTGGCATCTTCAGGAGCAGAGTTAAGAATAAGGCAAAATAATTTGGGTTTTTAACATTTGCATTTTGATCACCCGTTATTAATAGTAACAGGAGAGTTAAAAGTATCGTCCATTGAATGTTTGTACTACGTTATTCAGTTAAAAATGATATACTAATTTATATTAATAAATGTATTTCTTTCAGCTATATTAAATCTTTCCTTGCTCATCGTCTTAGTTATTACTTGAAATTAAAAGGGCCATCATTCATAGTTGACACCGCTTGTAGCAGTTCTGGGAATGCTCTTCATTCAGCGTTTAAGTCAATTAGAAGTGGTGAATGTGAAAATGCAATAGTCGCTGGATGTAATTTGACTACCCATCCTGGAGCTACAATTCAATTTTTTCGGTACAATTCCATATTTATACAAGAGAGTAATTTTTTGTTGCAACAATACATTTTTAGCTTAGGAGTTTTAAGTCCGGATGGAGTACCCAGAGTATTCGACGAGGACGCAAACGGTTACGTTAGAAGTGAGGCTTGTACCTGTCTTTTGCTCCAAAAGTCTAAAAATGCGAAACGCATTTACGCACAAATTATTAATACGAAAGTTAACACCGACGGTTTTAAAAAGGAAGGCATAACATATCCTTCTTCGCAAATGCAGGAAGAGCTTATGACTGAAATGTACAAAGAAAGTAACATTGACTTTTCAAAACTGAGCTACGTCGAAGCACATGGTACTGGTACCCAAGTTGGTGATCCTGAAGAAGCTAATGCTATTGACAGGGCTCTGGCGAAAAAATGTAAAAAACAGCTTCTCGTTGGTTCAGTTAAATCAAACATCGGTCATACAGAACCAGTCTCAGGTCTTTGCTCAATTGTCAAAGTACTGATTGCTATGGAAACCGGACTTATACCTCCTAATATCAACTTGAAAAAAGTTCGAAAAGGTCTGGAAGGGATTGAACAAAACCGAATGAAAATTGTGACAGAAGCCACTGAGCTTTTAGGGCATGATGCAATTGTAGCTATTAACAATTTTGGTTTCGGAGGCAACAATTGTCATGTCATATTGCAAAGATTTAAAAAACACAAAATCGATGGTGGACTTCGAAAAGATGATGTTCCTAGATTAATTTGTGTCAGTGGTCGTACTGATGAAGCAGTTTTGAAAATTTTAAATGATGTCAGCAACAAAAATCTAGATGATGAATATATTGGTCTTCTCCATCAGTTGTATAAAATGAATACCCCAAATCATTTGTATAGAGGATATGTAGTAGTTTCCAAACATAGTGTTGTATCAGAGGCATCAAAAGTATTGCCTTCTCGTAGACCACATTTGCATGTATTCTTTGGACAACTCGTCAATAATTTCCGCATATTGGGTTCTTATTTGAAGAAATTTTCAATCTTTGAAAACATCGAAACAAGGTATGTTGACATTTTATTTGTGGGTAGCTAATCAAGGTTTTCTTGTTTTTTAATGAAAGAATTAATCAAATTTTGGTGTCCTATAAAGTAAAAACGCTTAAAGAAATCCTACAATCTGAGAAAAATGAAAAGGAAGATGTATTAGGGTCAATATGTTTGCAGTTAACATTGGTAGATATTATCAAAGAGTTGAAATTGTTTCCTACTGGCGTTTTCGGTGACACATCTAGCAGAATCGTTACTGCTTACTATAACGGTGTTATTCAATTGAAAGAGGCTGTGTCGGCAGCGATAAAACTTAGTCATGTAAACTTTGATTCTAATATGAATTTCCAAACGTCACCAAACTTACGGGATTTAGATAAAAACTTAATGAAGGAGGATTATTCAACGTATGCAAAATCTATTAAACCATCTAAAGGCACAATTATACTAAATGTATCCGATCTCCTGCTTAGTGATGAAGATAACCTATTAGTAGAAAATGGTAGCGTCAATTTACTGGGTCTGTTAGGAAGGTAAGAATTTCGTTCCATCGAAATTAACAAAAAATACGCATTTAATTTGAAGATTATATACCGAAGGTTATCTTCCTCAAATTCATAAGCTGTACCCTCAAATAAAATTTCCTGTGAGTAGAGGCACTGCCATGATTTCGCCTTCTATTCAATGGAATCACGAAAAATCATGGTATACATACAAATTTAGTGAATTTAGATCAGATTCTGAGCACGGAGAATACAGGATATCATTCTTATACGAGGAACATCAGTTTATGAAAGGCCATTGCATTGATGGTAATAAGCACTAAGGAATATACCATAAAATCAAAAAAAAAACGTCGTCTAACAATCTTCGAAATTTAACATTAAAAAAATTATACAAGAAATTATATTACTCAGTTTGACATTTGCTGTTTGAGGCTACATTTCAAATGAAATATTTTCATATGTTTTTTATTTTCTATATAAAAGTCCTCTATCACAAATTTTATAGCTTTGGAACTTCACCGCAATATCAGTATCTTAAAAATAAATTTTCGTGGCTTACTAGAGGACGTTTTCGATCATATGGTACTGATATTAAAAGCAAGGTTTTTAGGACGTAACCTTCTTCCTGCTACCGGATATTTATATTTGGTATGGGAAACATATGTCCAAACTCATCGATTATTAATCTCCGATGTTCCTGTATTATTTGAGAACTGTAAGTTTATCAAAGCTGTTCCACTTCCTAGAAGTGGTTACATAAAGCTGCTTATAATGGTTCAAAGAGGCACCGGCAATTTTGAAATTCTGGAGAAAGATTCGTTAATAGTTAGTGGCCGAATTCAGCTTTGTCCAAATGGTACTCAACAACAAGTTACCCTGCCAAATTCTAATTTGTTGAGTAACAATAAATTAGAAATCTTGGAACAAGATGATATTTATCGAGAGTTTTACTTAAGAGGTTACAATTACAGGTTAGTTTGTTATCATTAAAAAACAGCGTGTTGCATATTCTTTTAGCGGTTTATTCAAATCAATTAAACGATGCAACGTAGACGCTTCTGTTGGTCTGATTAAATGGGAAAACAACTGGTGTGCTTTCATGGATAACATGCTTCAAATGAAAATTCTTCAGTCTGATACAAGGTTGCTTTATGTGCCCACTGGCATTAGCAAAATTATTATAGATCCCTCAAAACACATGGATGTTGTCAACGAACAAGATATACAAAATTGTCTTCTACCTGTTTATGTGGACAAGAATTGCAACTTGATCAAGTAAATAAACTGTTCACCAATCTTATAGTTAAAGAAGAGCTTTATTTTGATTAGGTCTGGTGGAATTGAGATACATGGAGTACAAGTAAAATCTGTTTTCAAGAAAAAACCACGACTGGAACCAGTTTTAGAAAAGAATATATTTATCCCAAATAATTTATCGTTAGGATTGGAAGAAGCAGTGAGAGTCAACACGCAGTTAATCTTAGAAAATAGTTTGGAAACTAATTTCAAAGCTGTGGAAATTATCAACGAATTTACGGACCCAAATGCTGAACACATCACAGTTTTTGTCAATAAAACCTTAGAACATATCCCTTTACTAACTCCTGATCTCACCATTTCGTCAAAAACTATCACAACTGAGACAACAGGTATAAAATTTGAAATTATTACGTTAACACCAGAAAGTGGCATACTTTTGTACATTGGGAGTAAAATTCTACAACAGTCAAATACTTTAAAACAATGCTTGGTGCCTCTTAGCAAAAATGGATTTATTCTAACACGGGAAGATATCAGTTTCAGTTTACACAACGATATTAGTGAAGTAGACGTTCTAACCGATTATTTAACACCAAATGAAAGAATACTTTTAATGAGGAAAAAAGTGGAAAATCATAAGCCCAAGTTTATTGAAGTATCTTCGAATAAACTCAACTGGATACCAATGTTACAAATGGCTTTATATCTTGGAAAAGATGTTATAGCTTACGCGACAAATCGAGATCCCGAAGGAATATTGGGTTTAATAAATTGCATCAGACGAGAAACCAACGGAAACTTAGTAAAGTGTTTCTTTATAATGGACGATGCTCCGGAATTTGATCCCCAACATCCATTCTACAGTAAACAAATTAGTAAAAATTTGGCTGTAAATGTATATAAGGATAAATCGTGGGGAACATATCGACATTTGCTTTTGGAGAATAGGTCAAAGATTAACTGCGAACATTCGTATGCATATTTTAAAAGTAGAGGAGACATATCCAGTTTCGAATGGTTAGAGGGACCTTTATCTGAAAAAGTACCATTAAAAGACGGAAAACTTTTGGTTTCAGTAAGTTACGTATTACATACTTCTATCGAAATGAGTATTGTTTGTAGACCTGTTATTCATCGGTCAACTTTAAAGATATAATGACCGCTTCAGGCCGTGTAAATCCGGAAATATTCCAACCCTATCGACTTCATCAAGAAATTCTAATAGGATTTGAATTTTCAGGACTAGATTTAAGGTGTTATTATTCATTGAAAAAACAAAGTTACGCAGTTTATTTGCAGTGGTCGGAGAATAGCGGGAATGACGAACACTCAAGGTATTTCTTCTTATTTTAGTTTCGATTCTTCTTTAGCCTGGAAAATACCAGAATCATGGACACTTGAAGATGCAGCAACGGTTCCTGTTGTCTATTGTACTGTTATTTATGCTTTGTTAGCGGTACGTATATGAGCAAACTTCATTTCTCGAATAATTTATTTTCAAGATTGGCGATATGACGCCGGGTTCTTCCGTTCTTATTCACTCAGCTACTGGTGGTATTGGACTAGCTGCCTTGAACGTTTGTCTTCATTATAAATGTGACATTTACGTAACTGTTGGCACTCAGGAAAAAAGAGCTTATTTAAAAGAAAATTATCCAGAAATTCCAGACCATCATATTGGAAATTCACGAGACACCTCATTTGAACAAATGATCAAAAGAGAAACACGGAATAGAGGAGTTGATCTGATTTTGAACTCTCTAAGTGAGGACAAACTCCAGGCTTCTATTAGATGTTTAGCAAGAGGAGGAAAATTTATGGAAATTGGCAAATACGATTTGGCGAATGATAGTTCTTTAAAACTTTTGCTCATGAAAAATGGCGCCAGCTATCATGGTGTATTGTTAGATCTCGTTTTCAGAAACTTTAAAGAAATGCAGTCTAAATTGGTAGACCATTTAGCAGAAGGAATTGGAACAGGTTTTATAAAACCACTTCCCAGGGTTGTGTTCAATGCAGATGAAGTTGAAAAATCGTACAGATACATGATGACAGGTAAACATATTGGTAGAATACTGGTTAAGCTGCGGAACGAAGAAGACAGTGGCAGTAAATTCCAGATAATGTCAAATCCACGGTAAGTTATCGTAGGTAGTAAGTTACAACTTGACAAAATCAAAAACATGTGGCCAAAATTCTAAAGCGGTCTGAATTTGTTAGAAAACGTTAAAACTGGATTGTTTAATTTTAGAATTTGTTTGAGGTTACTTAAATAGTCAGCATACAGATGAGGAAAAAAACAGAGGGCACTGTCACAATAAACAAACTAATTGAAATAAATAAAGGGATTAACGTCCAATATGGTGGTGGGTATTAGAGGAGATCATCCGAAAAAGTAAAGTCAATAAATAGGCATGGAGCGCTATTCATAAAGAGCCATCAATGTTTAACTACATAGAAAACGTTGTCCTGATAGTGAATAACCAAAAACACCTGAGCAAAGTAATAAAAAACTTACAGAAGTAATAATTGTTCAGGAGTGTTACAAAAAAATGAAGATACATTGATGATAACATTTATGGCAATGAAACACTGACGTTGACAAAAATGGATCCAAAACAAAAAAAATATATAACAAAGAAAAATATTACGAGAAACGGCTGTGTGTAAAATTCACTTTCCTAAGTGGTCGCAAAATCTAGAAAAAAGTAATATAAATTAAATATAAATCGTTATGCACGCCACTGATTATCTTACTTGACCTATCATAAGTACATAGTAATCAGTGAATGGCACAGAACGACTAGGATTAAGAACCAAAAAAGCGGCGCATTGATAAGAAAAGCTCGAAATTATATGCAGAAAAAAACATATATACCTCTGCATATACACGATGATTTCGAAGTATATGCAATAAAAAAAAGAGTGCGTCGACCCAGGGACGCACGAATGGAATTTTAACTCTGCGTTGTTAATTTATATAGATTAAACATGTATACGCGGCGGATTCATTAATTTTCTCTTAAAAAATAATAAAAACCAAAAGTATGTTGCATTTGTATTTGATGACAAAATGATGATTAATTATGATTCTTTATTTATCATATAGAAAAATGATAACTAATTATTATAAGACTCCACATCGTATTAAAAAAAAGAGCTAACAGTCCAAAAATGAGGAATAGCTCACAATAAGATTATTTCACTGTGTAAAATTCACGTTCCTAAGTGGTAGGAATGTCTAGAAAAAATTACTTGAAATTAATTATAAATCGTTATACATGCCACTGGTAGTGTTTCTTGACCTACTTATTCCAATGAATGCAAAAACACGAGAACGGCCAGTCATGTATCAGTTGCTTGCATCGAATGCTCGGAAGTTGGTTTATCGTGAATTTTTCCAATTCAGAATGTGTCGATGTGATAATGCTTTAATGTGTGCGCAAACATTTGTATCAGTGGTACAGAATCTCCTAAATCATGGTACCTTCAACTTCAAACTCACGAACGTGGCTGTAATAGAACACAAACAATACTGTAGGCTGAAGAACAAATTTCGGAACGCGATGAAGAAGAATCCGACATAAGCATTCGCCCATTTGCAAATGAAATTGAAGTTTCACTGTTTGTAGTGCATCGTACATTAAAAGAACAATGCTACATCCATACCATGTTCAAAAATTTCAAAGTTTGGAGCCAGCTGATACTCCACGTTGTGTAATTGACTACAAATGGTTGTTCCCGCAGTGTCGTGAACGCCCTAACTTTTTAAAGTGTATTATAAACAATGTAAAATCGTTGTGACAAGGACCAAACGTCCGTCAGAATCAAAAGTCGATCACCATATCGCTTTTATTCGAACGTTTTTCCACCTACTGCTTCAAAGGTAGATAAGTGGCATCGCATCGAGGGTGGTTTTGCCCCATTTCACTTTTCACTATTTTTTTCTATGTTGCTACATTACTACGATACATGATGCCGTGGATACAAGTATTGCATATATTTCGAAATTACCCTGTATATGAATAGTTCAACGAAGCGACAAGGCGGAGCCTCAGTAGAGAATGAGGGGCATTAAAGAGAGGAAAATACAAAACTCGAGAGAAGACAAAAACCTAATAATTTAAAAAGAAACGAGTCTCTATTATTTAGCATTTTATTATTTTCGATTCCGTCCAGTTTTTTGTTAAACGTTCAGTTTTTATTTTTACTTTTAAGCTCGGTGTGACTTTTAGATTTAAATTTAGAAATGATTGTGTTGTTCGTATAATAGCCTAATATTTCATTTTACATTTTTTTATGTAAAATCAAATCAAACGTACATTTCATTTAAGATGCTATGAACATAAATATTCCAAACTTATGGGTTTTAGTTTCCACTGTGATTTGCGTTACACCTACGTCGTTATTGGAGGACTAGGTGGCGTTGGTTTAGAATTAAGTGACTGGTTGATTTTGAGAGGTGCAAGAAAACTAGTACTAGCGTCGAGATCGGGCATTCAAAGTGGTTACCAACAGCAAAGAATAAAGTAAATTATAATCTCTTCACCTAGTGAAAATACAAAGTAGCAATTTTAGTATTTGGACAACATATGGGGTGGAAGTTAAAATTTCTACGAAAGATGTAAGCACTGAACGAGGGTGTGAAGATTTAATTAAAGAAGCGACTGAGCTGGGACCTGTCGATGCTATTTTTAACTTAGCTGTTGTCCTTAAAGATGCACTATTTGAAAATCAAACTGAAGAGAATTTCGAAGCTTCGTTAGCACCAAAAGCTCGCGCTACACTATATTTGGATCGAGTCACTAGGAAATGGTGCCCAAAGCTGAGGTTTACCTTTAATTTAGAGCTTTCGGTTTATTCTGATGATATATTTCAGGTATTTCGTTGTATTTTCGTCAGTATCCTGTGGTCGTGGGAATGCGGGTCAAAGCAACTACGGTATGGCAAACTCTGTTATGGAAAGGATATGTGAGAATCGACAACGAGCAGGTTTACCAGCTGTGGCTATCCAATGGGGCGCAATCGGTGAAGTACTTAACGAATTTTTCCACATTTCGTAAGATTACAAGTGTTTTAAAGGTTGGTTTGGTAGCGAAAATGCAAAAGGAGAATAAAGAATTAGTGATTGGTGGTACTCTTCAACAAAAAATTTCAAGCTGTCTTGAGGTGTTAGATATCCTAGTAAAACATAACTATCCCGTTGTGTCCAGTATGGTAGTTGCCGAAAAATACAATCATAGTGGCATTTTGACTGCAGTAGAAGCGGTTGCTCAAGTTTTAGGAATAAACGACATGAAAACTATAAGCCAGTATACAACATTTGCAGAACTTGGTATGGATTCGTTGATGGGTGTTGAGATTATTCAAATTCTGGAGAAAGATTTTGAAATCTACGTAACATCTAAAGACGTGAGAAGTTTGACATTTGCGAAGTAATTATTACGTCATTAATAAAATTTTGCTATAATGTTGCTGCTCTGAATTCTAGACTGACTGAGATGGAGGCAGAGAATTTGAGTAAATCTGGAAAAGTTGTAAACCAAAAAGTAGGGGAAGGCACAAATTTGCTCATTAAGTATATTCCCAACAGCGAAACTAGTCAATTGCCTGTTTTTAAATTAAACAGTCAAATTGATTCACACCTAGAGGCTCCAACCGTGTTCGTATTACCAGGAGTGGAAGGCGTTTTCAAACCACTAGAATATTTGACAAATTCGTTAAAAGCTCACGTTACAGGAATACAGTACAGCTATAAAAATCCTGAAGACAGTATTGAAGAAACTGCACGTAATGCATTGCCGGTACACTAAAATGTAAAAATTTACAGTTAATTTCTTCCAAAAACATAATTTTTCAGTATATCGAAAATTGTTTATCCAGGAATATCCGCTTCTGCATGATTGGATATTCATTCGGAACTTTGGTCGGTCTAGAAATGATCAGTTTGTTAGAAGAGAAAGGTTATCATGGTATCATGATTCTAATCGACGGCTCACCAGCATACATAACTTCGTCTCTAAAAAAACAATTCCCTCATCAAACGGATGCCGAGTTCCAGACAGCGATTTTGAGCAAAATCTCTTCATTTGTGATTCCGTTGGATGTATTTTCGCAATATGAGGTAATGGTAACCGACTTATTTGCGTTTGCATAACCAGAGTGCGTTTTTTTTAGGAAACGTTGTTGAAGTGCAAAAATTTAGAAGATCGAATGGATTTGTGTCTTTCGTTGGTACCTCCTGAAACAAGTAATAAACAAAAAATAGAAAAGCAGGCAGGTGTTGCACTGTACAATCGTTGTAAAGCTATACTGAACTACAGATTTAAAAACAAGAAAATCAAATCGGCTGTGCATTTATTGAAGGCAAAATCTTCTATGGTTGAAGAAGGAGTTGATTATCAGTTGTCGGAAGTAAGCGATAACCTAGCACAAGTAACTATAATAGATGGTGACCATGTAACAATTTTAAATAGTCCAGATCTTGTAAAAGCTGTTGGCGACATCGTAGCCCCGAAAACATAATTGTAAATAAAGTAATCATCTTCTTTTCTTCGTTTTTTTTTTTAATTAAACCAAAATACCTGGTCAGCTAGTGTCGTTGAGCTTGGTCGTTACGTCTCAATGTAGGTGTTTTCTTAATAAACGCAAATATAAAAATTAAGTTATGAATAGTCGTTAGGTAATTCTATTAATTATTAAAAAAATCCATTTTTTTTCGGATCGATTTAAATTAACTTCGATTTAAGTAAGTAAAGTAATTGGTGTAAGGCGAACTTAAATTTGGACTGTGACCCAATTTCTGAATGATAACGTTAATTCAAATATAATGATACACGTATATTATTCCTATATTAGGGTAGTAGTAAGTGTTTATTTTTTACCCTACGGGCTTAAAAAGATTCTTGACACTACAATTGTTTTCCCTAGTTAACAAAATCCAAATAAATACATTTTATAAACTAAATACCTAATCTTTCTTTCCTTTACCCCATCCCTTCTTGCCCCAGCCTTACTCTTGTCCTCTCCACTTCTTTCATCCATTCCACCCCTCTTCCGTCTTCATTCAATATCTTTGTCACACTCTCCTCTCTTTCTTTGCTCTCCTCACAGTCATGCAGCATGTGCTCTATCGTTTCTCGCCCTTCTCCACACATCCTACACATTCTCTCACCTTCGCTTACCCAAGACTTATTATTTCTTTTTTCATTTCCACACCTAAAGCTCGCAATTATTTTTTTTTTCTTTCGCGCTTTCTCTGTCTAGGTACTTTGGTATTGTTTCTGTTATTATCTTTCTATAGTCTGCATTGTACCTAGAATTACTTACACTCGCTCTTCTCTCTTGTTTATCTATATCTCTGTCACGCATACACAACTCTTCTCTCATACTCACCCCCATTTCTCTCTTTCTCTCTATTTCCATCCATGCGTATCCCAGTCTTTCATAATATCCTTTTCTACCCTTGTGATGTTCTTTCCCTGCTTCCTCTTTTTTTTCCTTCCAGCATTCATACAATATCCTACATTTCTCTCTTTCTTTCAACCTTTCATCATACTTTACAGCTCTTTTCCCAGTGTATACTCTTAGTTTCTCTCGTCTACATTCTTCTCTTACTATATAGTCTGGCGTCTCTTTCCGTAGCCCTAACATCCACCTCAAATATTTTTCTTGTACTGCTTCAATCTCTGCATATTCCTTCCATCCCCGTATCTCCACTCCATACATTAATACACTCCTAACTAAACTATCAAACATTTTCATCCTTCTTCTTACGTCATGTCCAAATATTCTCTCACCTATACTCCACACCATTCCCATTATCTGCATTGCTTTGACCCTTCTTTCTCTTATGTGTGCTTTTACCGTGTTAGTTGTTGTAAATTTAAATCCTAAATATTTAAACTCCTTTACTGTGTCTATGATTCGATCTTCCCAACGCCACACTTTTTTTCCCCTTTTCTCCCTTTTTTTCTAAACACCATCATTTTTGTTTTTTCTACATTTACCTCCAGTTTCTTTCTTTTAAAGTATCTTTGCAGATTTTTTTTCATCTCATTCATTCCACATTCATCCTTCGCCAATATTACCAAATCATCTGCAAATGCCAAACCCCATACCTTTTCTCTCCCCACCACAATTCCTCCCGCTTGTATTCCTCTAAACATTTCCTCGATATCGCTTATGTAACAAGCAAACAGAGTGGGACTTAATGGGCATCCCTGTCTCAATCCTTTCGTCGTCCAAAACATTTCGCTTTCTATTCCTCGCACTCTCACACTAGTCACTGTCTCTATAAATCGCTCTTGCTCCTACAATTAACTTTTCATTCAGTCCTCTTCTTTCCATGCATTCCCACAAACACTCTCTGTCCACCGTATCAAACGCGGCTTTTAGGTCTACAAACAGTGCATATACCCGACCTCCTTCCTTTAGCAACTCTTTTTCTATTAGATGATGCAGGATATATACATTATCCATAGCCCCTCTACCTCTTCTAAATCCCGCTTGACTTTCCGGTAATATACACTTTACGTTCATCTCTGTCACCAACCTTTCATTTAACACCATTGCGTACAGTTTATATGCCGTATTTAGAAGAGTTATTCCCCGATAATTCTCTACTTTTTCTTTACTACCCTTTTTATGAATTGGGCATATTTGTCCTATTCTCCATTCCCTGGGAAAACCTTTACCCGTCCACACCTCATTCACTAACTCGCTCAATCTTTCAATCATCCCATCCGTCCCAAATATCCACACTTCGTTTACCAACCCAACCCTCCCCGGTGCTTTTCCCCTTTTCAGTCTTCCTACTTGTTTTCCTACTTCCTCTACTCGAATCTACGCTTCCCTTTCTCTTCCACCAATCCCGGTTTTACTATCTTGCACTACAATTCTCTCTTCCTTTCCATTCAACAGTTTCATAAAATGCTTCTTCCACTGTATTATAGGTATGTCTTCACTAATCGTGATTTTGTTCTTCCGTTCTTTATTTATATACTGCCATACCTCTTGATCAGTTCTTATGGCTTTAATTTTTTCTTCTTCTTGCTGTATCTCTTCTTTCTTTTCTTTGCATCATTTTCTATAATTATTTTTTGCTTGCCAGTACTCTTCTTTTATACCTTTCCCCTTTTTCCACCTTCGTAAACATTTCCTTCCTTCTGTTTTTAAATCTCTGCATCTGCTATCCCACCATCTGTTTCTCTTTTCTGAATTTGTCGTTACAATTTCTATTCTTATGGCTGCTTTTTCAATTTCTCTTTTTAATTCTTCCATTTTCTTTTCAGTTCCTTTTTCTTTAAATTCCACTTCCAATATTTTTTTTTTATAATGCTCAATTCCTTTTTCATTCCATACCCATATCTTCTTCTCTTTTCCTACTTCATTCCTTAAGCATCCGCTCCCTCTACTTATGCCCCTCACTTTTACTTCTAGTGGCATGTGATCGGAGTCCACTCTTTCTCCTACGTTGAATGTTTCTATTTCTTCTTCTGCTAATCCGTTTACTATTACGTAGTCTATTACCGATTCCTCTCTTTTACCTATCCAGGTAAATTCCCCCTCCTCGTCCCCTTCCTTCACCCCATTCAAGACTTCCCAACCTCTTTCTTCAATTAATTCCCATAGCAATTTTCTGTCTTTATTTTCTACTTCGGACTCTTCGATTTTTTCTTGTATTTCTTGTTTCGTGTTTCTCATTCCTCTACTATATATTGTGCAGATTCTCCATCTTTTTTTATTTACAATCAGTTTTCTTTCAACTAAGTCTTCCATATCTATTGCCCCCTCTCCTATTTCTTTTATATCTTTCTTCTCTCCTGTTATGATTCCACCTTTTGCTCTACCTTTGCGTTTTTCTTTTTTTGCCCCTTGCAATTTCCACTGAAATTCCTTTGGTAACACGTCTTTCAGTTTGTTCCAGTCTCTCTCTAGTATCCACGTTTCTGTTAGTCCCACAAAATCAAAATTTTTCACGTAGTTCCAAAGTAAGTTATCTTTCTTTTTCAAACCCGCAATATTCCAAAAGAGTAATTTTAAACCAATTTTATCTTCCCCATTCTTCTTTCGCATTCCCCTATTATGTACAAAATCTACATTTTTAAACCTAAAGTCTTTATTTGTCCCATCATTACTACCCCTCCCCTTTGTGTTTCTTTCTTCGGTTAATGCTGACTTGATTTGAGAAATTTTTCTTCCAATTTTCCGTTATTTTCATTCCATATGTACATTTTGTCCCCTACTTCCAGCTTCTTATAGCCCACCCTTGTTGTGTATCCTTTTTTTCTTTCTCATTCCTATATTAGGGTAAAAACTTAACATGAATTGGCTTGATTCCGGCGAATCGACTGATGTTGTGTATATGGACTTCTCGAAGACCTTCGATCGGGCGCCTTTGCGACATCTTCTTCTTAAGCGCAACCATTTTGTCGTCCGTGAAAACCTTCTTCGCTGGATAGAGGCTTTTCTTTCAAAGGGGTCGTTCAGTGTTAATGCGGGTGACGTGCTTAGTATGCAAAAGAGAGCTCTGAGTGGAGTTCCTCAGGAAGTGCTACTTAGGCCCCTTCTTTTTGTTATTTATACCTCCGACATTACATATTTTCTGAAGGCGCCTTTTGTAATGTATGCGGATGATTTGAAAATCTATAACAAGAGCTGCAATTTCACTGTTGTGCAAAATGAGTTAGATGTGGTTGCCAATTGGTTGTGTTCATGTTTGCTGCCTATTAACTCCGCAAAATGCGTCGTGCTATGTACTACCCGAAATCCAAAGCATGATTATCATGTGAATGTAAATTCTTTGATGATAGAGTGATAAGGTTACATTCAGTTCCCCCCAAGATCACCAGAATTAACCCCCCTGGTTTACTGCTTGTTCGGTTATCTAAAATACACAATTTTTAAAACTCCCATTCACACCATAGAAGAACTGAAAATCGGGATTACCGAAGAGTGTGCTCGCATTACTCCTGCTACACTACAAAATGTGTTTGATAGGAGGATAGATACCGTTTCCAACAGTTTGTTTAAATTTGTTCGCGACTTTTAAGCAAACTTATCCACAAATCTGCGGAAGTTATTTTCTTTCACAAGTTTTTCTAGTTTTCCTCAAACAAGAGCTAGCTTCGTTTGTAAATTGATTTATGTCAGTATGCAACCGACATTACATATGTGTTTATTTAATTGCATAATCTGAACATTATCCGAGACCGAGAAAACATACGTTCAAAATTGCAGTGTTCTTTGATTAATTAATGAACACAGGGTACTAACATTGTGATTCAGCGCTAATTGTTGCATTGACGTTTTGAGATTTTCTGTTGCGTCTAAGAGGACATTATTGTACCTAATTTTAGTTGATTTATACAATTGCTGATCGAGATATTTAAGTAACCGTTTTCATACAATCTAGCGACCCTGTATTTTAAGGTTTCTGTGTTCATAAAAAATTCGCAAAACCAAATTTTACAAATTTTCGAAAATGTTAGATGGATTTATTTTCACTAAAAATATTGTTCAAT